CGCCATCAGTCTTGGAAATTTGATGAAAACGACCACGTGAAGACGCTAATTTGTTTACATAAAGGATTATGGCTCCATTTGATATTTCTGCAAACAAAAGCCCGACTCGTCGCGGGTTTTTTTCATCACAGCCATTGATTATTTTTCTAGGTGCAAATGGACTAAGCCTGATGTCACCGTGCACTAAGTGGCATTGAACAAGGTAAGCCTATTATGAATCTTAAACCGTAATTAATACACGGTTGTTGTATGTTTGTATGAGATGCTAATTGCGATGTTAATTGCGATGTTAGAGTAATTAAACAATTGGAGCGTCCAGTCACGATTTATGACACATGTTAATAGACAATGGGCAAGTGTGAAGCAAATTTGCAAGCTTTTAAAAAACAATGAATGAACTACTATTATTCGGAAGCTAGAAATTAGCGTTTATTTGTTAATGCCGCCCTCTGCAATAACCCATGGCAGCAATATGCCGCCGGCTTGTAAATATCCTCTGGGCCTGTGGTAGACATTAGCTGGAAGCGTCCGTTAAATCTCCATCAGTCAGAAATGTAAACAGTCATGTTGTATTCAAATCAACTATTTCGCTGCAAAATTATGAGGGCCTGCAAATAATGACCAACCACATTTGCAATCAGGGGCGGTGGGGTAGCCTAGTGGTTAAAGCGTTCGCTCGTCAAGCCGAAGACCCGAATTCGATTCCCCACATGGGTACAATGTGTGAAGCGAATTTCTGGTGTCCCCCGTCGTGTATTGCTGGAATATCATCAAAATACTCATTCACTCACTGACAATTACCATCAGGATGAAATGCCAAGTTTTAGCCAGAATGCGCATGGTGGCAAGTTGAATCAGGGAGACTATATAGTTGTAGAGTATCCCTGGTTGAATCTCACAGAAACCTCACGAAACACATGGGATACAGATGATTTATTCTTTCCTTTCCTTTTTTAAATGCCCAGTACATCTTAAATTTCAATTATTCCGTATACTTCCATCAACAAAACATTATTATATACTTATATTTGTGAATACAAAATGAGAGAAGATCGTTTTAGATTTTACGAGCGCTTCCGGCATTACTAACTTCGTATCCGACATATGAACTCTCGTACAAAAGAGTATACACATGTTTGATTAGTGAGTGAGTGAGTGAGTTGAGTTTTACGCCACGTTCAGCAATATTCCAGCTATATGGCGGCGGCCTGTAAATAATCGAGTCTGGACCAGACAATCCAGTGATCAACAGCATGAACATCGATCTGCCGATGACATGTGTCATCCAAGTCAGCGAGCCTGACCACCCGATCCCGTTAGTCGCCCCTTACGACAAGCATGGGTTATTGAAGGCACATTCTAACCCCGACCTTCACGGGTCATGTTTGATTAGACTAACGCTTAGTCCCTGAATATATATAATTTTGATAGTAACAAATATACCCATTAAAATTGAAAAGGAGCCCTAGTGAGTTGGGAGAACCTGGGGAAATCTAGACTTGCTTCATTTAGAGCTTTAGCATTGCAGGGAAGGCTAGGCTGTAGGGAAAATAATGTGGTTCAGGGACTGTGACACAGACTATAATGTTTGATGGAAAGTGAAGGAAACTAGAAATGGTCACTAAATGGTGATAATTTGTTGCGGGTATCATATTTGTGTTTTGGATCCTTAGTGGGCATTGTTTCTCATGTATATTTTGATTTTATACTATATTTCTGTGTATCATGAAACCAAGAACCAATGTGTGAGTGAGTGAGCAGGGTTCAACGCCACCAACAGTGTTCTATATATATCACGGAGCGTTAGCCAAACTTCGGAAGAGAGCCGATGCAGGTCTTACAAGTTTACCTCTTTGGTAAAGTTGGTGGGGTAGCCTAATGGTTAAAGCGTTCGCTCGTCACGCCGAAGACCCGGGTTCGAATCCCCACATGGGTACAATGTGTGAATACCATTTCTGGTGTCCCCCGCCGTGATATTGCTGGAATTTTGCTAAAGGCGGCATTAAACCTTACTCACTCACTCACTCTTTGGTACAAACCAACAAGCAAACGCGCCGACAACTCCAGACATATTCGGGGCGAACTGGAATTCGCAATAACTGTAGGTTTCTAGAGCGCACAAGGGGCGCAACCTTGTACGTCAAATTTCGTCGTTTTACATGACTGCAACCGTGACCCCTACAAACAAATACCAATGGATCGAGCTGTAAAGATATATAACAGTGAATATACCCTGCATGCGGTTATAGTACAATGCACGGATATAACTTAGATATTTCTCACTATTCTCAAAGTGGCGTTAGACCTTCTTTCTTGGTCGACTGTATACCTAAGGGCTCCCCCGGTGAGATTCTCCGCAAGAATTGACACCTAGAAACTAGACTAACAGCTAGTCTCTGAATGAACATATTTTACAGAAAAACAGTTCACAATAAAACAAATAAAATATAATGAAAAGGAGCTCTGAGACTTGTGGAAAGCTGATCTAGCCATAAATTCTAAACTTGTATGGGGTATCTTGGATATAATTGTTTCAGGGTCTGTATGACAGACTCACCCAGGAACCTGTACTTGTCGTAAGATACGATCAGATGGATCTGGTGGTCAGAGGCCGTTAGTTGTTTGTTTGCGTGTAATTAGTTGTTCATGATATCATCCACCTGTTTGTTTTTACCCCACATTTATCGATGACATACTGAGTGAGTGAGTGATGTTTAGTTTTACGCCGCTTTTAGCAATATTCCAACAATATCACGGCGGGGGACACCAGAAATGGGCGTCACACATTGTACCCATATCGGGAATTGAACCCGGGTCTTCGGCGTGACGAGCGAACGCTTTAACCACTAGGCTACCCAACAGCCCCTACATGACATACTGACAGCAACCTATCTGAATACATTTGATATCTTGAAAGATCGATAACACCAGCATCATAAGTCATCGTTTGATTTATTATGAGGATAGATAAAAAAACCCAATAAAAACAGACACCTGGAACCCAGATTTGACTTTGCCTCTTATTTTCTCAGAGAAGTTACTCAAACACTGTTTACATGCACGTAAGCTTAGCGTATACTACGCTGTAACAGTGTGGTACCACACCCGATGAGGTTTTCACACGTTCAGTGCGGGTCAATTATCACCGTTTCTGCAGGTAACAGTTTGGTCAACACCGATTAAATGGGAACATATCGATTTACAGACAACCACAATTAACGCAGAGCTTTACATATTGAGGTGTTCATGGACATATGCAGCCGTGTTTGTTGACATACATATAACTAAGTATTGTACCATCATCACCTCACCTCACCATATTCAGTGATTAGTCTTTTTTTTACCTGGCAGACTTCAGATTTCAGTTGCCCATAATTTGATTTCCCTGTGATGTTGTCAGTTAGAATGTTTTTTACCAGATTTCAAAGGAAAATGATTTACATTCCAGTACCCCGCCAAACGCTCTCTCTCTCTCTCTCTCTCTCTCTCTCTCTCTCTCTCTCTCTCTCTCTCTCTCTCTCTCTCTCTCTCTCTCTCTCTCTCTCTCTCTCTCTCTCTCTCTCTCTCTCTCTCTCTCCGCCCATGCAGTGTTATGTAACAGTATGTCATGTTTAGTTTAAAGGTGTTGTCATTTCTCGTTCAAACTGAAAAAATCGTTGCGATTTTACACTGAGATCATCGTCATAAACCACGCAAACACCACGCAACAGAGGAGCGTCTCACTGATCGACGGTGTGTCACTTTAATGACTTTCCCAATTGTTCACGGGGATAGACCGCTGGTGAATCATCACTGTACTTTAACAGTGGAAGCAAGCGACCTGTTTGGTTTGTCGGTACGTCGTTTCCACATCGTGTGTGTCTGCGTCATAAGAATTGCGCTGTGACCTCTGACCAGAAAACCCGTGACGATTACACATCGCCAGATTTAGACAAACACGTGGGTACAATTACGTGCGTGAGTGCGAGAAGTTTCAGTATTACCGTAAAGTTCCCCGGTGCAACTATCCAAGCTATTTCAGATCATACCCTGCCTGGCAAAATATAATGGAAAGATGTATGTGTTCATAAGGCTGAAGGTAATATTTACACTTAGACAATCGGATAAACTTTCAAATGCTCAATTCACAAAACAATTAAAATTGTGTCAATTCATTTAGTTATAGTTGATCGTGCACTGCGTATGTGTGTACGTGTGTGTGTACGTGTGTATGGTGTTTTTTGTGTACGCCTCTGTATGAGAGAGAGAGAGAGAGAGAGAGAGAGAGAGAGAGAGAGAGAGAGAGAGAGAGAGAGAGAGAGATTGGGGCGTACTGACCCTCACAGTTAGCATGTCTTAGTTGGCTACATTCATGTAAATCATGTTACGAAAAGAGGCCATATTTTTCTGAAACAATACTCAAATATCTTGGAGATGTAAATGTAAATATGTTTTTACAAGTTTGTGATTGATGAGTTAACGTTACGGAAATTGAAGCCTGATCACTTTTCATCTCGGAAAAGTAGCAATTTATTCACTATATAGTATATATGCGTTTTAAAAGTACTGCATAATAAAGTGTTTGAATAAGGCGAAATGTCAACAGCAACTCTCGTAACAAAACATAAGAAAAGGTATAACGTTGTCTCAAAATGTAATACTCGAATACTGCATTCTTGAAATTGTTTCAACGTTCTAAAAAACTTGTTATATTCCTCACGAACAGGAAAACAAAACATCAAAGTTTGGAGACACCCACAGATTAGATAAATACGCGTTTCGCAAGTTGTCACATTTGTTTTCATGTTCCGCATCAGCAACATATTTTGCAACGGATGGATTTTTTTCACATTAATTACACAAAATGATACTATTTAACAAACATGCTGAGGCGCGTTCCTCCTGGAGTTAATTCAAATTCCTCGACCGTTGCTATAAACAACCTGAAACATTAGGCTGAAATAGGTCAGGGGTCAGGCGGAAGTTATCTCATCCTCCTCAGCGAAAGCATTGTGGGAAAACGCTGCTGCTCCATTTGGAGTAAAATGGCACCGGTAGACTACACGATATGTGGATTAGCTGTAGTTATTTTCGCTAGTTGGTGCATAAATTGGCTTCTACATATATTTGCAATCGTATATGGGTAAGTTTTCAACATTTATTTCATTTCCCTTTTGTGATCGCCTATATTTAACGATTTAGCAAACCGAATACGTTTGACAGTTGAAGGGAACTTCTCTCACGCCTTTCACTCGCATTGCTGTCGAGTTCGTATGTTTGCCGAACGATCTGGTCTTTTCTATGGAATTTCATCGTACTACAGTCATATGGATATGTTTTAAAGTAAATTTTCATTCATTTTCTGTCGTTTAGAATTTGTGAAACAGTGTTTGGTTGTTTTCCCCATTAAATCATCATGCTGATTATGTTGACACAGAAAGTGGGCAGGGCAGGGTTTGGCACGCCGGTTGAACCGAGTTACTACGGCTTGTTTTCACCGGTTGATCACGGTGGATTTACTCTAAGCGCCTCAAAAATTACTAGCAGCAAATTCCAAAATCGCATTAAGGGTTTAACTTGTCGTTCTTGACTACAGTGCAATGTATACCATCATTAATATCACTATAGTGACAACGGAATGACCTTTTTTTTCAATATTGCAGACGAATGAATGAACTTGTTTTTGATTTATCCAGAAATTTTAAAAATATGTCGTGCATTTTGTGTGCTGTCTGGTTAAAATGGAACTTCAGCATGTTCATGATTTTATCAAGACTTCAAGTATTTTGAGTTAAGAGTGTAATTATGTTATTGTATTTCTAATTAAGTAATTAGGGATAATTTTATTTTTTGAAAGTTGAACATAAAGATATATTTTTTAGCATCAAAGTATAGGGGATACAGATTGACACAAGTGTAGAAACTAACTATTATTAAAAAGTAAAACTGCACTTGAATGTGAGATCATTATGTAGGCATAGTAAACTCAGCACGACAAAGCATTTTAAAGGTCCACTGTATGTACAGGTTTTGTGTGGAGTATTTACATTACTTTTTCAGAACTGTTTGTTACAGAGATACACTTGAGTTTGTTGTATGAACCCTAACAGTGTCACATGTGGTTATCCCAGCGTGGAGTGTGCTAGAAAGGAACACAGATAACTCGTTAGATTGACATAACCCCAGGAACTTCAGCTATTTTATCATCTTGGATAGTTTAATCTGCTTAACTGACACTACCCAGCTGTTCAACATGGCATAGGATAAGTAAGATACTACCATGATTACTTCAGAGTTTGTGTAAAGCAACAGTTTCTATTGCTGAGTTGTTGTGGTAACTACCAATGAAAAGTGATATTTCGCTATGAGATATTGTCGTTTAAGGCATCATTATCTGATGATGTTTCGCATTAGGTAAATGATCAGCATCTTTTTAAAATTTGAATCTAGAAGTCAGGGGATCCAAAGACACAAAATTCGGTTTGAAAATCGATATTGTGTAACAAAGTAACAGCAAAACAACATCACAGTAAATACTTATATTTGGGGAAGAAAAACAGTTTGACAACTATTCATTTCAGGTTCTTGTTTCAGTTTGTGTTACATAAAAATGGACATTTGTCATTTTATTCCATTAACAATTTCAGCCGAAACATATACATGATAATATTCTTATCAGTGTTTGAAGAGAGGCTCTTAGTCTTAGTCTGTCTCACAGTCCCTGAACCACATTATTTTCCGTACTGCCTACACCTCTCTGCAGTGCTAAAGTCCTAAATGAAGCAAGTCTAGATTTTCTCAGGTTTTGAATCTCTGGTCTTCCTGGAGCTCCTTTTCAATTTAAATGGTTTTTTTTGTTACTATCAAAATTACATATATTCAGAGACTAAGCGTCAGTCTAAAGGGTTCTGGGTTCCTAAAGTTTCAAACCCTACTCCCTTTGGATCACTGAGGTGGCTTGAGACCTCCAATCAGAAAGAACCATCTTACCTTTCAAATTCTTACATGATGCAACTAGCGTTCTAAATTGATGATGAAAAATTAAGTTTAGTTCAAGAAGCGTGAAAATAGAGGGGTCATTGTGAAAAGGTAAAGATTAAGAGAGCCCATTGATTCAAATAAAAGGAACAAGACTCAAGAGTCCCAATATTCCCTTTGATTTTGATCACTGTACCGTTGCACGTAGTGTCGTGATGCACCAGTGCTCAGTGAATTGTTCAAGCCAAACTGATAGTGGGTGATGATGCTTAATTTCATTGTCTGTGTTGATGGTCTGTGTGTGTTCAATAGCCCATAATGACTAGTGCTGTATTATTAGAGTGCAGTTAGCACCGTCATTACTTGTCTCTCTCTTGATTACAGAGCACAGTTCCTGACGGAAACTCATTAAGCAATGGAATTTATAGATTTTACTTTTCACATCAGCAGAGTGGAGAAACATTGCCAATGATAAATACAGACAATTTCTTTCTTCAGCTCCTCAGATAAATAGAGACCATATCGTTATCAAGGTAGCTACTCTGGAACACTGGGTGAAAATTGTTTCATCATGAGTAATTAGCATGATTAAACTTAGTTACTAGCTACAGCAACTGAATTATTCCTGTGTGAGTTGTGTTAATCTAGCATAATTTTCATATTCAAATTTGTGAGGAAATCTTTATGCTTCCCCAAAAAGCTGAAGAACACATGATTGTCATATGACCATGATGACTGGTTAAGCTGGTCCATGATTTGTCACAAATGTTCTAAAAAACGTTACAAAATGAAAAGTTTGTGGTCATTTGTAGAGCATACTATGACTCAGACTAAATCGTGATCAGATTAATATTGATTTTTTCTTGCTCACATGGTGAACCTAAAATCAGTAAGTGGAACACATTAGGTATATAAAGTTTGACTGGCCTTGAGGTTTGAGTATAATGAGCATTGAACATGTTGAATAATTCTGCTCGAGGCATGTATCATAAGATCTATGGCTATCTGGTAGTATACAAGATGATTGATCGCTGAGAGTCAGACTCTCATTGTCCCTTGCAAATCCCTTCATCAACTATAATAGACCTGAGGTATGTTAACCAGAATGTTAGCTATGCCTTGCAATGATATATCTAGATACAGTTTAGCTGACATTCAAACATGTTATGTCATATAGAAAACAATGGACAGCAGAGAGGTGTGATGCATCCTAATGTTTACGTTTCATGGCTTTGCATTATTGTATGACAGAATACACTGTTTAAAAAAGGCTCAAATTAATGTGTGTGTTTTTTCCAGATTAGACTAAATCAGAGTTTAGATTAGATTGAATCGTGCTTCTGTTAATTTGAAAGTAGGTTTTTCAAAAAATATTTACAAACTTCGAATTGTCAAAATGTGTTTATTTTCGAGGCTGTTTGTTGTGAACAGTCTGCAAGATATAATAAGGATGAAATGATGAAACAAAACTCCAGTGCAGCACAATAAATTGATCATTGATTGATACATGCTATGTATGAACCTGTATCATTATACATAACAATACGAAATACTAATCTTGTGTACTTAACAAAATAATATTCTTATTTAATTAAAGATAAATATTAACTTAAGAAACAAAACCCAGTTGAGTCCAACAAATCAGCATGGCAATGATATATATCAGAATTATACTAAACCATCCAATATAAGATTTTATTATAACGAAAACGTGTTTTAATCTGTCAGCTATTAAAACACATACAGAAAAGCTCCATGGAAAATGGTAAAGGTTAATTAACTTGAAGGAAAGTCAAAGCATTGAATATTATGGGTGAGTATTGCACCAATGTTTTACTCTGATTAGATTATATAGTTCAGTGCCCTTTGTATATGATCATGGTCAGATCAGTCAATACTGTTGTGAGAGGTTTATGGAGACTGTTTCAGACCTTAGGGCATAACCTAATCCATCTAGATACTGTAACGTTACATCAAGTTTGTACATTGTAGTTGTCAGTTTGTTTTCGTCTTGTTTCATCAATGAAAACCATACCCTGCAGCATATGATAATCTATGATTGCGAAGTTAGATTTGGAGAGCTTCTTATTATGAATATATGAATGACCCTGTTTCTTTCATTTTTTCAGAAAATGGAGGTTATCTCACAAGCTTCCTCCCTATGTAGCAGAAGAGCTCCCAGCAGTATCAATTTTAAAACCTTTAGTTGGAGTAGATCCACATTTATATGAAAATCTAGAAACATTTTTCAAGATGAAATATCCCCAGGTAAGTGATTTGTTGGCAGAAATAGTTATTGTATCAAATATTTATGCTTTGTTAGTTTTTCAGACGTTTCAGCATCAGATCAATGGTACTTGATCATGTTGTAGAATAGTGGGTGTGTATATGGCAGTCCGTGAAACTGGTGTGTTACTGTATACAGAAAGCATGAGATAGGTGGACATAATTGCTTTATTCAGGCTGGCAAAGCTATTCCAGGGATTCAGTTTTTCAGATAAATAGTTAAAAAGGTCTTAAACACATAAATAAAGTATTTCCATGCTTTAAAGTTAAAAAGTATTAATTCCTCACTGACTGACATGCCACATTTAAAATGGTATGGCATTATTATGTCAGAAAAACATGCCACTTTTGGAAAGGGCAGCATAATTATGTCACAAAGGTAAAATGAATGTGCTTAGGTCAGGTGAAATTATGGCCATCATTCTATAGGCCTGGAAGCGAATATCAACCAGAGAACATCATGAAATATGCCTGTGTTACCGTAATCATAACAATAAATATTCATTGAAAACGGATGACACTATGAATTCAGGTATCAAGCCCAGAAATCACTGTAAAAGTGACCTAAACTATCATGTTAGGTACTAGACATGGATGGACTTGGCTATGAGTCTGTTAGTCTGGTGAGATTTAGAGGGACTAGTTATTTTCTTCCCAAATCTTGTCTGAAATACCCTTCAGATTAGTTTGAAACGATTGTGGTACATCTACCCCAGTCACATCATATAAATATTATACAGTCTGACTTAGAGCCCTTTATTATTTTGTTATGAGTTACAAAACAACCAAGGTAGATTTTCTGGTCATAGTAGTTTTTGTGATGTACTAGTACTGGTTACAACTTACATATCTGATGATGTCTATTTTATTGATCCATGCCTCCTATATTGACTGAGTCGATGGTTTCATATTTCATGGATTGAATCACAGAGAAATCAATTTATCCTTTCTCGTTAATAACTTGATGAAAGCCGCTGGCTCATCAATTATGTGCACTTTGTGTAATGGAAACCCTCTGTGAAACTATCCATCATGCTGCAAGCAGACTGATGTAGATTTCGACAGGTGTCGTATATATACACATGTCATTTACGTCCCATATGACTAAGACTGTTAGATGCATTGAAATTGAAACATGTGGATGGTTATGTCTTTCATCGTTGTTTATTCATAAGTTTTTCGTGTGATAAGGATTCAGCTTATTTGTCCAGAATCAGTTATTAATGTTTCTATGGATGATAATGAGCCATATTTCTTAGATATGAATGATGATGGACATACGATCTGATTCCTCATGTATCAGTTACAGATTCTGTCATAGTGTTAGGAAAGTTTATGTTGACGACATGCCATCTTTTCCATGTTGTAAATGGAACTTGAATTTGTGCTGTAAAAATGTCCAACAGGATATGACGTTGAATCTTCTAGACATTACACTGTGTTGGAATTATATTTTTCTCTCAGTCCAAATTTGAAATATGTTGCATGGAATCTGCACATTTTGTGTACAAATTTTTATCAGTATAAATGTAAGTGACACACCGTAATATACTATGATGGCGGTTTATAGATACCTGGACCAGACAATCCAGTTATTGAAATCATGTGTCAATCGTCAAAACAGATACAATGACATCCATCAACTATCACTAAGTCACAGTTAGTCGTCTCTTACAACAAGCATGATGATCAAAGGAAACAGGGCCGGTTGTCACAGTGTCCATGACAATGTCCTTCCATCATGATGCTGCATTCCAGAGTGATGCAATGTCTGCCTCCCACATGTGAGCGTTCACGTAGGACAACTTCTAATCTGTCGTACAGATCCTGAAGCATATATATCCAAGGAAGCCCATGCAAGTCTAGAAAATATGTCAAGTCTAGATTTCCACAGCTTCAAATTAAGAAAGTCTCAGGGCTCCTTTTCATTATGTTTTATTTTCTACTATGAGCTATTTTTCTGTAAAATATGTTCATTTCAGAGACTAGTTGTTAGTCTAGACAACTACATAAAATCTAATATCATTCAGATTTTGGAAACTGAAAGCCAGTACGAGCAGACAGGGCATTTTGAACTTGCACTGGTGCAACCTTAAACTGCAGAATGCCACCTCTTATTTATACCTTGCACCCAGTGCATGCCACTATTTTACTGTTTAAGGAATACTGACATTAGCTGGCAAACAGAATGATGAGCAACTGGTGGAGGTGTGACTCTGATAACTGATACGGGCAATGATTGGTTGAATGTTTCTGTTCATGTCATGAAATTTTATGAAGTAGGATCAAATGACCTTAACAGCCCCAGAATATTTTGTTATGATGATGTAATAAATCACCAGTACCAAACTTCAAGTATTATTATATAGGTATATAGTTATACCAAGGAACTCCATCTGGCGGCACCCGTGAAGGTCAGGGTTAGAATATTGATCTTCAGCAACCCATGCTTGTCTGAACAGGATGGGGTGGTCAGGGTGGCTGACTGGGTTGACACATGTCATCGGTTCCCAATTGTGCAGATCGATGCTCATGCTGTTGATCACTGGATTGTCTGGTCCAGACTCGATTATTTCCAGACCACCACCATATAGCTGGAATATTGTTGATTGTGGTGTAAACTAAACTCACTCACTCACTCACCCACCCATCTGGGGGTATTAGTGAGCCATGCACACATTTTTGTATATCATTGCATAATGATCAGCATGTGCAGCCAGTTTTTGTCTGGTGCAACAAGGTTATTACCTGAGGTTGCACTTGGTGCAAGAAGGTTTCATGTCCATGTAATGTTTTCAAGACCTGGCAGATATTTTTTATTCTGCATTCGAACATTAAATCAAGAATAAAAGTTATTTGATTTGAAAATAATCACCAACCAATTTGTACCCCTTTCACATATACATCATTTATTCATGTAAGTAATTTCACACTTACAGCTTTACATTATGTATTATGGAAATACAATATGCCTTGTCATGCATTTTTGATACGGTGTGTAAATAAGGTATGTTAAGAGTGTACAGCATGCCTATTCATCAGTCTGTTCATGACTTTCAGCATGAAAAGGTTGACTTCTGTGAGTGGCGATTCTAGTTGGAGAGTCAGATAAGGACAAACGTTATGGATGAACAACTTCTTTATTCAGGTGATATGATGTTTCAATACAGATTCTTGCATCGATACCTGCTAGACTATGATACAAGAATTTGTATCAAAACATCATATCACCTGAATAAAGAACTTGCTCATCCATACAGTTTGTCCTTTTATGAAAGAAGAGGGTTGCTTTGCTATAATCTTTGAATGAAGCAACATGCTTGATTTAATTGTATTCAAATTATTGACTCTGAGAAACTCAAAGACCACAATGTATGCCCAGCTCTGAATTGCAAAAGTTCATAATGCTGTTTCCTGATCACTATGAACATCAGACTGTGGAAGCGTTGCCAGTTTGCTCAATATTGGCACATCAACTGATATACAAATACGAACATCATCTGGGTAAAGCCAGAACTTACAGTTGACAAATATATGTACAGTGCTGATTTGCTCATGCATACATTTACCCTTGCCCCTGATTTATGTTTGATCCTGGTGTAAATATACACACGATTTAAAATGTTCATGCGACATACGCACACATATCGAACTATACACATATAAGTAAACTGACGCTTAGTCCATGAATATATATAATTTTGATAGTAACAAATTAGCCCATTTAAGTTAAAAGGAGCCCCAGTGAGTTGGGAGTTTTCTGGGGAAATCTAGACTTGCTTCATTTAGGGCTTTAGGATTGCAGGGAGGGCTAGACAGTGGGGAAAATAATGTGGTTCAGGGACTGTGAGACAGACTAACATAGATGTATCGTGTACATGAAAACAGTGTATTATTTTATCCGTTCAGACAAGAAATGTTTCAAGGTGGGATAAAAATAAGTGAGTAGAACTGTGGGTCTGCTTACAGGAATGTCCACCTCTTACAAGGCTATCCACTTGCCTGATGTTTAGAAACAGGTTCCCATTGCCGGCATAGAACTATAATCAGGTCCAGTGTTGTCTTTATCTCACAGACCACCTGACATTCAGATTCCTCTGACATGACCTTCTTGTAATGGATGTTTTCAGTGCCGATGTTGTATTGGGCACCAGGAATGTCTCAGTGAACAAAGCTTCATGATAGTGCTCACATGGCTAGAATTCCTGTCAGCATGGTTAAAAACATTCGGGAGAAATTCTTAGAATGTGTTTTAAAGGTACAGGTGTCTTTCTTGGTATGAAACTGGTTTTCGGATTGGCGATGTGCTAGAATTTGTTTTATATTCTTTGTTGATTCTTATAGTAACATTACTTTCCTACCTCGTCAATGACCACTTGCTTGTTGTTTGTTGTTAAATGTCACCATGGTAATGTTCAAGGTATGATGTTGGCCTGTGAATGATTAAATCTAGACAAAACAATTGATTGATATTATGAACAATGATGCACTCTCTAAGGTCATGTTGACATGTTACCTACAAAGTCACAGTCTGACCAATCTATCCGTTACATTGCCTCGTATGATTAGCACAGTAAGGTCATGGGGACCAGTTCTAACCCGGAATTCCATCTGGAGAAATGAGCAGTTATTTAACATTTAGATAAACCAGCTGGTGCATGCTCATCAGAGAAGCACCCGATGCAGTCTGTGCATGCATATATAATCACAGCTATTTGGCTGTTGTGCATCTTTAACTGCAGTCATTATCTTAATCAACAGTAATTAGACTGAAGTAATTATGTTTCTGCAGAATGTGAGAGTTGATGATATTTATAGGACTGTTTTGATCAAGGGTCTGAAATTAACATAAGCCTGCTTGCCCAAGGCAAGTAAAAGGACAGGGTGTACTTGTTACTTGTAAACTACCAATTTTGGCATTGGCAGGTGGCAACACCATAGCAGAATCTATTTTGGGACTGGTGTAAACAAGAAGAAATATC